AACAATCTGAATTATGCACTGACATTAAAATACGAAGGTTGTAAGGCATATTGAAAATGAACACTTGTGTATATTTAGTAGACAGTTATTAATTAAAAATTATCCAGTGTTTTTACAAGGTTTTCTGAAGTTTCTACCTTGATATTGTGCTTTCATTTCTATACCAAAAAAGACATATGTTTCGTATTATGACTCCAATAATAGTTTGATCACTTATCTAGTTGTAAATACTACGTACCAGTTATTCGGTAATACAATAGAGATCATAAAGGAGTCGAGTGGCGTATCAACAACATCAAGACATCCCTTGGATGGCACAGAAATCAATACCGAATGACATTGAAACAAACAATGGTAGAAGGATACGGCGAAACAAGAAAAATTACATTGAGTCTTAATATAGTCGACTGTCGTGTCCCGAAATCCATTCGTGTTTTCGCGCCTAAGACGCTCGCTGCCGGGAGCTTCGACGGATCGGAAAATTCTTCGGGCAAATATTTTCCCGTCGTCTTTGTGGCTCCTTCAAAGGTGATCGAAGGTCCATCAATAACCGATAGATCCAAGAGGATGGGACACGGATCGACACCCTTGGCATCTGGAGGGAACACCCAGAGTCCTTCTATGAATAGATATCCTATTTCGGAAGCCGAAGTACATACACACATATTATCGAGCGACAAACTTTGAACCGTCGACGATAACAGAAAACATTGATCCGTTCAGTGTCTCGTTGTTCCAGGTATCGTCGATAATAGTTATCCACGAATAAATCGAACGAGATTGAATCGGTTAAGAATATCGGTGCTCAAAATAACCGATATCTGAATTTAAATACTTCGACGAAAGTTTAAATGACTTGAAATCGTAATCAATTATTATTTATAATAAATCTTCAGTGGCCATGGCGGGAAATATTTTTGTTACTAAATCCAATGTAACTTCGCTTGTTACTGGTAATCTCCCCCCCCCCCACGCCCCTGAAAAAGTTGATATTATTTCCGTCTTACTTAGCTGCGTCAGTTTCAATTAAAATCAGGATAATTATAAGCTTATTCGATTGAACGTGTTCGAAGTTATTTTTGTAATAGACAATGTCATGAATATGAGAAAAAGAGAACACTATTATTGGTAGGAGAGCTCGCAGACATTTAGATCAAATTGTATTTATATAACAATTCGCCGATCCAGCAGAACTAGATTAACGTTTGTTTCAGCACTAATAATTAGACTGCAGATATTATGCATTTATAGCCCATAGGGCTCTGTGAAATGCAATAGAAGACAAAGCTTTCATCGGATCCAATGAATTTTCTAGTTTAGTCTAAACTCAATAAGATACTTAAGAGGAAAAATAAATTTCTACATTTGCGCCTGTCTTTATAAATTACTTTAGAAAATGTTATTTTGCATAAAAATCCGCAGTCTACTAATAATAAATCCGGCAGAGGAAGCTTCGGGCAAGTCTCGCGAATGGAGTTTCGTTGCATTCCCCTTTTAAGGGACGCGCGCGGGGTACGGATTAATAAATCATAATAGAAGACCGTAATGAATGGTTGCTACACATTTCACGAAGAAGTACGAGGATAAAGAATCTCCCGCGAGATACATAGTTATAACAGGGTAATTACACGCGTCGAAAGTACGAGCGTAAAAGGGAAAAGAAGTTAGCGACGCCGTAAACAGACGAGAGCCGCGGCAGCGGATCTCAGGTTGAAATAAAGATTCTTGCGATGTGTCGACGGAGATGGCACGGAATGATATGGAAATGGATTTTCGTGCGGCGAAGAAGAAGCAAAGAATGGAGGTGGGGGTGCACAGAGGTAGGTTCATAAATCAAAGACGATGGAACCGGAAGAAAATAACGCTGAAGAGGGAGGATCCATCTTTTCTTGCAATGAGCTTGTTTCGCTTGTTCTACAGACATCAGATTCAGTTATATGTAACTGACTTGTTTTGTATTGTTATTTTATACACACAATGTCAAGCAATATAATGAATATACAGTGAGAGTCAAAAATGAGTATACACTCTGAAAGAAGTACACTGAGAATCTAATATTTCGCACAGACTTTCTATTAGGTACATTGAGATCTGATGACTAGGGAAGAGGACTTAAATGATTGCAAATGTTTTCCAGGAAACAATTTTTAACCACCTTTGCTGTATATTTTGGGTCACGATCTCACTAAGAGACCCATGAATGCACTTGCAGCTGAATTTCATTTGGAAGTATCTAAATATCCAAATTTGTCCATAGTACCATGAATAAAAACCGACTGTCCTACACCGAAGTTAACCATGCTGCTTCAAACCACAATAGTACATTCACATAGTTTAACGATATTTACAAAATTTTGTAGGCAATAGCTCCGAATTTATTTTTTTCGAATTTTTCGGCTGTCTGTTCATCCCGAAAATGTTAATCCCGTAATTAACACTTTCGACTAATGAACTTTACGCAATTGTCCCAAATGTTAAACAGTAAATACCTAAATATTTATTGTTAGTTCTGTATGCGGAGTTTCAAGGACAATACAATGAATATATTTACGATATTGCATAGTAATTTTGTCTTAAACACAATACAGCAACGGAATTCTGTATGCACATGGATATTATTTTTTGTATGCACTGTACATACTCCTCTGCTATTGATTCACGCGATTTTAATTCACTTGGAATAAGTAAACGTGACTTTCGTTTCCGTAGCTACATTACAAAACGATGGAAGAAACGAACGCGTAATTTTTTATGCCGAAACCCACTTACTCAATCCCGCTTTCGTGCCGCGCACAATGTATTCAATTAAATTTCTTTATTCACGCACTGTAAACCGTGAATGAGGTTGAACGCTTGTAAAGACTTCCCCGCGACGTTCACGTGAAAACAATAAACGAAATCACAGGCTCGGCGGCTTGTCCGTGCCGCAAAAAAATTCTATTCAGATTTAAATGTTCCCTTACTTCGCGCGGTTATTATCACTTGAACTGTATACGCCTCGACGCATCTTGTTGTTTCTGATAAATGCGTATGATAAACGTTGAGAAAGAAGGAAGAATAATTAATTTAATGAGAATACAAAAATGGATGACTCTATAAAAATGTGAATTTTATAAAAACTTTTCCTCTCTAATGGATAATAAAACAATGATTATTTTAAACGTAAAGAAAAAAATACGTGCACGAAAGTCTAAACGTAAGTTCACGTATTTATAATCAGCAAAGAAAAATTACGTAAACGTAAATTTACTTACAAAGAAATCAATCAGCAGACCTTGGTAGGATTAGGTTTCGCCACTTGTATTTTTAACCCGACTGGATAAAAAGCAAGGTTGAAACGCTGGGGACGAGACGGGATGCTCTTAAAGTTTGCATTATTTAATGGTACCCTTACAATCGCATTCAACGTTGGAAACACAGGCACTATACGAACAGCCCTCCTTAAGGGATGTTTCAAAGTGATTACACACGTACGCAACGGATTACAAGCGTGTGCTTCGTTATTTCCCATCTACGCACTATCGAACAACACAATATGGAAATCTATGTTTTTATACAATATTCACATTTTCACACTCAAAAGAACTAGATAAATTTATGGTAACAGTGTAATAAATACACTTACTGACAAACGTTAGATATCAAAACAACCAGACAACAGACAGTGTATTTTCTCTTATCACTTGTGTATGCAATTGTTTGAATAAAATGCAACATGTGTACAACTTTTGCTCAACAAAAACATAAATAAGTATGTGAAATCGGTATACATAGATTGTATGTAACAAATACGGTGTTTGTGAAATTATTCGTTACTTAACGTTTGTCGGTAAGTGCACCGTTGTAGCTTGTTAATTTGCTTCTTTCAAAAATGGCGCCATTACATTCGAAACCTTGCATTCCAAATCAACGGTTTCTGTTCGCCATTGTTGCAAGGTATAATTTCTATTTATTACTTTTACACATACATAATTGCGTTGCTACCCTCCCTAATGTTATAAACATTTTCAAATATGTTGTGTATATGGTCTGTAACAAACAGTATACTTAAAAAACAACAGTGTGGTTCTATAAACGGAACCAGTAACAACTGTTGAACAAGCCTACTGGTAAGACCTTTCAATGTTCTATTCCCTCGTTCAAATCAAGCGCCCTGTAACGGTCATCGCGAAAATTCTAACCCTTACCTGATGAAAGTTGAATCTGCCGCAGGACTGGAGGGTCTTGGTGAGGAACTCGCGGTGGAGGCGGTATTGGTCTCCTCCACGTCCATCATCATTCATACCGACGATGACGGATCAGCTCGAACGACCGAGGTAACGAAGAATTATTTGAACGACAGCAACGAGAAAGAGACCGAGAGGGATGGTGTGTGTAGGATGGTTGATTCGTCAGGCTCACCGGCCCTCTCGACGTTCAATTCCACGGGGACAGAAACCATAAATTACGGGGAGCTTGACAAGGGGTTGGGGGTTGGTTTCGTGCGCCCGTCCACGAGCGCGGACTTACGGAAAACAACTGACGGTCGACCTTACCCCCACCGTGAGCAACCACCGTGCGGCGCCTGCAAACCTGCGCCGCCGATACCTGCCGCACAAGAATGTGGTCGTGGCGCAGGCGCCGAGCCGCCAAATCACTGCTGGGACTGCAACTATTCGAACACAAAACAATTACTCAAATGTTTTCATATTTAAAGAATTGTTAGATACCCCGGTAACCACTATTCTGAACTTAAAGAAATAAAAACAATGCCTGTAATCATAAAGCTATGTACAGATACTGCGAGGCCGGCTTGCGCGGCTGCTTCGTGAAATCTGCCTCGCCGCGAGCAATCTCAGTGCGAGGCACGTATACACTTCGCGAGGCAGCCACGCAAACCAGTCTTGCAATGTCTGCACATAGTTTAATGCTTGAGAAACTACTGCTACGTTTTTGAGATAAGAAAATCGCAAAAAATATTCTGTTGATTATAGATTACATATTTTTATTCTGTCTTTCCATTTAAACATCTGATACAGTTTTTGCTTTCGTGGAATGATAATGCCGAGCAAATGTTTCACCTACAAGTAATGGGAAAACCAGTGTTGCTTCTGCGTAAATCTAAAATATTAATAATTATACAATGGATTGTACTATCGAAGAATTTCATTTGAATTTAAATGTACTCTTACTTTCACTGGGTTTGCGTCTGTTCGAATTTTTCCCCATGACACTGCTTCATCCGGGCGAGCACCACTATCGCTTCCATCAAATTCTGATGATGTGTTTATAAAAACAGCATAATCAGCGCCATTCCTCTGCAATGAAATTTATTTTTAATCAAACCGTTATCAACTTCTCTTGTTAACTTTCTTGTTACCATTAAATTTGCATTACAAATGTGATGTTTTACAACACCACCGCCTATAATAATCATTCCACTCTTTACAGCCTTCATAGCCATTGTGTTTAATCGTCTTAAATCTGAAATAGAATTACAGAAGTGCAGCATTATCGTTTTTTAACTGTGTACCAAAAGAGAAAAGTTTGATTGATATCAAACTGATACCTGATACTATATCTATTACTAAGCCTGGATTCCTAAAGGAATGGAAATACATCATATCACCAAGACTTCCATCTGTTAGAGCAGGACTAAAAACTGGAATTTTATTCTTTGCTGCCCAATAATAGATTGAATCTTCATTATTAATTTCTTCACCCAATCTAGCTATTACTTTGGATGGTGTCCAAAGGGTTCCCTAAAAATTACATTCTAAAATGATCCGTTTTAAGAGAATAAGCGCATGACTTCTTACTTATAAATATATACTTTCTCTTTCTGTTCAGCCAACATTGCGTCCAATTTAGGCATAACCCAGTCTTCAAAGATGCAGTAATTGTCATTAGGCACTAACAAGTTTCCTATTCTATTAATACCACGTTCTCTAAGATGTTTTCCTACTAAATGAAAATCTCCAATGTATGTTGGTGCAAAACATTTTATCAAATCTTCTTCCACACCACCTGCTGTTGTAACAATACAGTCAACCTGTAATATTTATAACATTCTGAATTATCAATAATATTCCCCAATATTTATACTGACCATTTTATGCTGCACAAGAAACCTTATAGTCTCCCGAATTCCACAAGAAGCCATATTAGACGTGTATCCCAAAAATATGGTACATGAAGACTTTCTCCTTATAAATTCATCATCCTCTAGATTATCAACTTGATCGTCTTTAAGTGGAATACTTCTGGCATTTATCATTTGCTGAATTTCATCCACTGCTAATCCAAAATTTCTTGCTTGGAATCCAGAACTTTTATATGTTTGTAATAAAGCATGATAGTTAATTCCTTTATTCCAGTCATATCCTAAAGACCAATTATTTTTATTTTTGGATTATCAATTGTAAAGGTAAAGATCAAACGTTATTCCTGTATTATAAATATGGTTAAAAACCTTTTACTGTAGGTGTTCCTGCTGGAAGTTCCACACTATGTACTAATACAACATTTTTTACAAGTTCTGGAACAGTGTCCTTTGAACTTACTGAAACACCATTCATCTTTAATTTAATCTTATGTTAACTGTTTTTTTTACTTCCCTTGTGCTGTATTTTTTATGCAATATGTTTACCCGTGCAGTGTTTACAAACAGATATAACCTAAAATATAAATATCAGGTTCACAACAGTAATTTAATGTACTTGCAAAGAATACACTATTAATTATAATTATAATCTTTAACATTACGTTATTTCATGCACAGGTTGTACAGGTATTTAAAATTAAGTAAACGCTTTTAAATACATACATCACTATCAGTTACAATCGTATGACACATAAAGAATGGTAAAGAAGCATTAGATAATATTAGAAATACATAGTTACATAATAGTATACTTCGGATTACAGAAAGAAAAATATCAAGTGTAAACAATGAAATATAAAACTAATATGTTCATTTTTTAATCGAACAATAAAGGTAATAAAGTATATATTAATTGAATGATCATCTAGGATAAGATAAACATAATAGTACTAATAGTATGTGAAAAGTATTTACAATATTCAATTATTAAATCTTTTAAGAAATAAATATGCATAACAACGTTATTGATTATAAATTAATCTTTAGAATATCGGGTGAAAGAATTTAAGCATTCAATTTTCTACGACGTTATTGGCTATCAACGTTCTACCAATAAGGGAGATGCAGCTGGATGCAGCGCTCTGTGGTAAGTAACGATACTGCAGCAAAAGCTACAGGTGCGAAGGCTGTAGTGGCGTTGTTGTAGTAGAATATGAATTTAAAAGAACAACGGTCAATCGTATCTTGACGGGTTAAATTTGTTTTTATGTCGTATGTGCACGTATTCATATAAGTTGTGTTTGAAAATAAGAAGGAAAGTTACAAATAAGGTACGAGAATGGCTAATTTGTCCGAATGGGAACCGCTAATAGAAAAAACGACTGTAAATCTTCGAAACGCATTGTCTACATTACAGTCGATATGGACAGACATAGGATTTACAGAAGAAGCTCGTGCCCTATATTGCGAACAAGCCTTCAATCATATACACGATCTATTAAATGATATGATTAACGAATCGCAAGACAAGAAAACTGCGTTATTGAATAACGTTAAACAACTGGTGGAGCAAGTTTCTGTAATGAGCAAAGAATTAGGTATGGACGCAAGAACTACTGGATACGAAGATTTACCGTTGAAAGAAGTCGAGGAAGTGCTGCGCACTGACTTCCGCAAATTGCAATATTGCAAGGAGCAGCGTTTGTCGCTCCTAAAGGAACTACATGCAAAGGAACACAGTCTTTGCATAATGCTTGGCACCCAGCCAATTGGTATTGAGGAAAAGTTACCTACCGAGGAAGAACTTAACAGTTTTAAACTTTACCTTGAAACCCAGGAAGGAGAAAAAAATCGTTTGGAATCGAATTTTAAAGAAATGCGTAGAGGAATTGTTAAAATGATGGATGAATTAGGTATTTCACCATCCACAAATTTTGAACACTTGGTTTATAAAGATAGCGAAAACTTTGTTTTCAGCAGTAATAATATGTCAAAATTGAGGGAACTTAAGGATCATCTTAAACATCAGGTGGAAAGAGCAAAAGAATATGTAGAAAGTATTAAACAAGAGTTAATTGCTTTATGGAAATACCTGGATGAACCAGAACGTGTGTGTCAATCATTTCTTAGTAGTTATGTAGGATATAGTACTGCAACTATAGGTACATTACAAACAGAATTGGAGAGATGTAAAGAGAAGAGGAAACAGAATATTTCAAGATATGTATCACAAGTTAGATCTGAATTGGTAAAACTATGGGATCAATGTAAATTCAGTGAACAGCAGAGGAAACAGTTTAACTACTTTAATTGTCAGACATATACAGAAGATTTACTGACGTTACATGAGCTTGAAGTAAAAAGACTACAAGATTTTTATAAAGCCAATAAGTCTATATTTGAACTCTTAGAAGAGAGAAATGATTTATGGTCAAAAATGAAAGAACTACTACAACGTGCAAACGATCCAGATCGCTTCTACAATAGAGGTGGTCAATTGCTAATGGAGGAAAAGGAGCGTAAAACAATTCAGAAAAAATTACCAAAAATAGAAGAGCAATTGAGGACTTTAATACAACAATTTGAAAGTGTCAATGAAGAACCATTTACTGTTAATGGAATGTCAGTAGATGAGTTGTTGAAAGAATCTTGGGAACATCTAAATGAAGAAAAAGAAACAATAAAGAAAGCCAGAAAAGAGGCTAAAGATAAATCAGTTAAAAAAATAACATTAAGTGCATCTAAGAAGATTGTTTCGAATTCAGGAAAAAAAACACCAAGTGTATTGAGTACTAAAAGGCACACACCACATAGTATTTCAAAGAGAAAATTGTTGTTCACTCCTTCCCCAAATACTTCAGCAAAACGTAGAAATCTAAGCATAAAGAATAGTGGATCTAAAAACAGAAGAAGTGGGAGAGTTTCTAAGAAAATTATACAGTCTGCTAACAAGTCATCTAAAAGTAGCACAAAGAAAGAAAATTCTGAATCTCAATCTTCAACTGTGACAAATACAACTTACAATCAATTTAAAGAACATTTAGAAGATAGAAGAGAGCTGAGGAGTTCTTTATTGCCAGAACAAGTATTAATGAATGCAACTAGAGCAAATGTAAAAACCCCAGTAAGAACACCTGCTAAGCCACTAAGGAAAAATATGCCAATAATAACAATAACTACAACACCTAAGTTATCTAAATCACAGACACATAAATCACCTCGCAGTCCTAGGCTTGTACAAGCAACAAGACTAGCTGCAGTATCAACAAATTTGCCAATCATTTTTTAAAGTAGCTATACAATAAATATTAATTCCTGTACTTGCTAACATTATTCATGAAGTAAAACATATATTTTATATATCTTGAGTTCATTATTATACAATGCCTTAGAAGTATATTGTTTTATAAAATTTGGTCACTTAATTAATTACATATTACATACTTATCCAGATTGCAATACCTCTTGATGTTGCATTTTTTTTATGTATATTGTTAGTTTGTTAATATATATTTAACATTTTAATACTTCATTGCGATCTATTATATACATGTACGTAAGTATGTATTCAATATCAATTGTAATGCAAATTATTATTGTGTAAAGAAATTAATGTATCTACAGGGTCACTTTTGTAAATAAAATTGCATTTAGTAATACATACTCCAAAAATTACTTGTAGAATGTCTTACAATTAATTAATTAATCGTTTTTTTTAATGATAGATAACGAAACGTACATCTTATAAGTGCACAGTTTCGTTATATAAAATCGTATAATATTTCTGTATATCCTTATCGAACATATTTTATATAAGAATTTATCGTTTTTCATATGATTATTGTATATAGATATTTTAAATGTACAACGTGAGTGTATATTTCTGGTACACGTTATGTATATAAATTAGGATACGTATATAGTATATGCAGAATCAAATCAATGGCATTGAAGGAATGCCCTATACATGTATCCGTCAACTAGTACTTCCGTTTCCGGTTGACGCCATAGAAGCAGTACTGTTTATACATTGAGTTTGGGTGTGTATTGGTTGTACTAGTTTGTTCAACAAATAATAGTATTTGTCGTATTGAAATCGTATGATTAGAATCTTGAGATGGGTGATATAAAATCTTTTTTTCATCAGTGGTGTGCAAAGAGTAGCAAAGAGCCACAGTTTGACGTGAGACCAACAGGTATTTTGCTTTCTGTGTGGGTGTTGTCTGACGTAAGTAAACATTTAAATATATTTAACACTTTTTAATAATTACTAGGTCCAAAACATCGACAACGATTCCTATGTGAACTACGTGTAGCTGGATTTGATTATGTGGGAGCAGGAAACTCTACTAACAAAAAAGATGCACAAGGCAATGCAGCCAGAGATTATGTTAATTATTTAGTCCGTACAGGACACGTGAATGCTAATGATGTTCCAAATGATGCTGGGATTGTCCCGCCACAAGATAGTGGACCTGTCAATCCAGAACCTCATGGTCCATCAAAGTCTGTGTTTCAAGATGGAATGGGACCAAACGATATAGGTCAAGCATATAGAGCTTACAACGAACATGGTCGTGGGAATTATACTTATATGGATAGAATAGCAGATCAGAAAAGAGTTGAAGATGCAGAAGATGTTGATGTAAATTCTGGAATTCATGGGAATTGGACTATAGAAAATGCTAAATCAAAGCTTCATCAGTTCATGCAATCTAACAAACTTAATGCTGATTACAAATATACCCCACTTGGTCCAGATCACACGAGGTATGGGTTGTTTCAATGTAGCCATTTATTTTTGCATTGGATTGGATTTATTACTGCAATATTATAATATTGCTCGATGTCACAACATTATGAAGCAATCGCATGAGAGATTTTTGTACCATTTGAAATTGAACAAGACCATTCTGGAGTACATAATTTAATTGTCCTTGAAGCTGGTACAAGAGAAGAAAATTGTTTTCTCTTGTGCACAGATGAAGATGATGTTTAACCAAAACTTTTATTGAAATGATTCAACAACGGTTTTGGTGCAACCAATCATAGAAACTTATTACAATGTGCTCCAATGTGGTCTTCGATACTTTCAAATGGTAAGTTGAATTTACGTTATTACTGTTATCTATTAACTATATCATAATTAAAGATAAATATGTATATATATATGTACAGAACATTAACAATGAAAATGTTCATATCTTTTTTTCCTAGGAGTTTCATGGCTGAAATGACATTTTATGTAAAACAACTTGGGAGAAGTATGTTATTTCATTGTTCAAGTACTTATAAGTGATTATGTACTATAAAAAAATTATAATATAAACAAATTTTAGATGTTACTGGTCGCGAAACTGGCTCAAATAAGCAAACAGCTTCCAAGAGTTGTGCTTTGTCTCTTGTACGACAATTATATCATCTTGGTGTCATTGAAGCATTCACTGGTACTCTAAAAAAAAACAAAGACACAGAACAAATAAAACCATATCCAGTTAAAATTTCACCCGACTTGGAAAATCAAATTCATGATGTATTATCGAGCTTAAATGTCAAACCTGTTACAGTAGAAACAGAGCAGGTACTTGCTACATATTGTAGTTTCATAATGTATTTTAGTATTAATTATCGATACTCACATACATTGTTACTATAGGCATCATCCATAAAACAAGAAGAGACTTCCACTGCTGTATCTTTAGTAACGAATCAAGTATTAGACGATTTTATTTCATCTGTACCTCAACCTGCTGGAGTGGTCAGTTGGTCTCCTCCGCAACAAAATTGGAATCCTTGGACTGGCTGTAATATAGATGAGGGACCATTAGCCACAATGTCTTTAGAACAATTGTCAGATGATTTGCTGCACGAGCAACGTGAAAGATTACAGCAAGACAGTAGTCTACAAAAGAGTATTAAGGACAGGTCCACATTACCAGTTTTTTCGATGAAAACTGAAATAATGACCGCCATTAATGAAAATCCTGTAATTATTATTCGGGGTAACACAGGATGTGGTAAAACGACCCAAGTATGTCAATTTATTTTAGATGATTACATTGCATCGGGTCAAGGTGCATTTTGCAGTGTTGCAATCACACAACCTAGAAGAATATCTGCGGTATCTGTAGCAGACCGAGTTGCTATAGAAAGATGTGAAAGTTTAGGACAGTCGGTTGGATATTCGGTACGATTTGAATCCTGTTTGCCAAGACCTTATGGTAGCATAATGTTCTGCACTGTTGGTGTACTTTTGCGAAAGTTAGAAGGTGGTTTAAGAGGCGTATCACATGTTATAGTCGATGAAATTCATGAACGTGATGTTAATTCTGATTTCATTATGGTTGTTCTTCGTGATATGATTCACATGTACCCGGATTTGCGAATTATTTTAATGTCAGCTACGATCGATACAACGTTGTTTAGTAATTATTTCAATAATTGCCCGGTAATAGAAATCGCGGGCAGAGCTTATCCTGTACAACAGTATTTCTTAGAAGATTGTATACAATTAACGAATTTTGTACCGCCTATGGATTCCAAGAAGCGTAAAAGCCGAGATTCAGATGACTTGCCAGGTGATGCAGAACCAGAGGAAAATTTGAATAAAGCCATTAGCGCCGAGTATTCTATGCAAACGAAGAATGCTATGTCGCAGCTCAGCGAGAAAGAGATAAGTTTCGAACTTATAGAAGCTTTACTCAAATATATTAAGGATCAAGGTATTCCAGGTGCCGTGTTGGTCTTTTTACCCGGCTGGAATCTGATATTTGCTTTAATGAAACATCTGCAACAGCATCCCATTTATGGAGGATCGGGTTACATAATTATACCCTTGCATTCACAATTACCTAGAGAAGATCAGCGTAAAGTTTTTGATCCTGTGGCACCGGGAATTACGAAAATTATTTTAGCCACAAACATTGCTGAAACATCAATTACGATCAATGATGTAGTTTATGTATTAGATTCCTGCAAAGCTAAAATGAAGCTGTTCACTTCTCACAATAATATGACAAATTACGCCACAGTTTGGGCTAGTAAAACCAATTTGGAGCAAAGAAAAGGGCGAGCTGGTCGTGTCAGACCAGGATTTTGTTTCCATCTATGCTCCAGAGCACGTTTTAATAAAATGGACGAACATATGACTCCAGAAATGTTCAGAACACCTTTACATGAGTTAGCATTGAGTATAAAGTTATTGCGATTAGGTAGCATCGGAAAGTTCTTGTCAAAAGCAATTGAACCACCACCAATAGACGCTGTAATAGAAGCTGAAGTCATATTACGTGGTACGTTTTTTTTTTTCTATAAAAAAGAATTTAATACATTTATTGAACATTCCTTTATCCTTATTATTGTTCTTATTTGTTGCAGAAATGAAATGTTTAGACGAAAATGATGAATTAACGCCACTCGGTAAAATATTAGCTCGCCTACCTATTGAACCACGCTTAGGTAAAATGATGATCCTAGGTTGTATTTTCCGTGTTGGAGACGCGCTGTCTACAATGGCAGCGAATAGTACAACGTTCCCAGAAGTGTATAACATGGGGCCAGATGTTAGAAGATTAACCACCCAACAGAAATGGTTTGCTGGTGCAAGATACAGCGATCACGTGGCAATGTTACATGCATTCCAAGCTTGGGAAGAAGCTAGGGACGGTGGAGAGTATGCAGAACAAGCATTCTGCGACTCTAAAAATTTGAGTATGCCTACATTAAGGGTCACGTGGGAAGCCAAGGTAAGTTTAAATATTTAGTATTTTTCAAGTTTACTGTAAGACGTGGGGCGTCATTGATATATTTTGTATTTAGAATCAATTGCAAGCACTTCTGCAAAGTGCTGGTTTTCCAGAGGAAACACTTTGCCCCACGCCATTAAATTATCAAGCTGGAGCGGATGTTCGTCTCGATACAATCACTGCTTTATTATGTATGGGTCTATATCCAAACGTATGTTATCATAAGGAAAAACGAAAGGTTCTTACCACCGAATCTAAGGCGGCTTTGATCCATAAAACATCAGTAAATTGCAGCAATTTTGAACAGAATTTTCCATTCCCATTTTTCGTGTTCGGAGAGAAGGTAAGATAAGATTTTTTCTTCTAAATGGATTTGACAATCATACTTTGATTTTACCATTTTCTTTGTAGATTCGTACAAGAGCAGTCTCTTGCAAGCAACTGAGTATGGTGTCTCCAATTCATCTATTATTATTCGGTTCTCGAAAAGTCGAGTACGTTGACGGCGTAGTGAGACTGGATAATTGGGTTAATTTAGACATGAATCCGAATCATGCAGCTGCAATAGTCGCCTTGCGACCTGCTTTAGAAAGTCTCGTTGTGAAAGCTGCGAAGGAACCAGAAACTATTTTAGAATTATCTCCCAACGACGAAAAAGTACGGTTTCATAATAATTTGCCTCGAATAAAATCTGCGAGTACAAGTAACGCTAGTAAAAAAATGTCTACTTTTTGCAGGTACTGAGTTTGATCAAGGCACTCTGCGGAATGAATGCTTGTCGTTACGAACTGGATCAAATTACAGGTGGTGGTTTCCAATCGCGGAGACCACCAAGGGGACATTCGACAGGTTTCCATTCCGATAGTAGCAATTCGCCGAAAATGATGCGTGGAGGTAGTGGTTTTCGCGGAGCTCCTCGCGGTGGTGGTTTTCCTAGTGGAGGCAGTGGCGGTAGCGGTGGCTTTGGCAATGAAGGCGGCGGCGGTGGATTTGGCAATGGAGGAGGCGGTTTTCCAAGAAATAACAATTTCGGTGGTTTCCGAGGTGGTGCAAATAGAGGCTTTAATAATTCCCGTGGAAGAGGTGCTGGAAACTGGGGTGGGAGAGGTGGTTTCCGCGGTCGTTATTAATTGGTGGGTTAATTACCTTTGAACCGAGACTAGTAAAAATTGACTGCAATATATCATTAATGCATACATTTAACTGTATATCATCTTCTATCTAGAGATACGGTAGTTACTCCAATAGCGCTCTCGGTTTGGAGGTATGGACGAACATTGCAGCAGTATGTATATTTCTCGTGTAGGCAATGACGTTCTTTTTGTTAATGGCTTTGATCCTTCGACTGGGCTCATGAAGCGTGATTCATTTGCCTGAATTTTAGAGCTTGTGATACTGGAAATCAAGCGTAGCGAGACAAATTATCTACAAATGAAAATTTTTGTACTTCATATCATACCTACGAAACTACTAATGTATTTTATACATCATGTTCTGCATAACATGATAAAGAATACGAAAATTTCCTTTTTTATTTGTTAATCATTCATCTCATTGTTCTTGGCTACCAAACGCTCACGCTAAGTAAACAGAAAAAGGATGTCTATTTTATACTGGACGATGATTACTGTAGGAGTAAATACTGTAGACCCGCAACATACATTTCTGTTTCATTGATACCTTTACATTTAGTCATATTTTTCTTAATTTAAAAATGAACTGCATTATTCTTATGAATGATAGTACAAATAAAGCTGTATAAATTATTGAACAGTCTATGTATATCGAATATGTGACATAATTTATCTCCACCGTCTACCCGATAAATATAGATACGTATCTTAGGAAGATAAAGGTAGAATTTACGAAAGTTCTGCCACGTAGATTACGAATCTTCAAGCGAGACGCAGTTCAGCAGTGGTTATTCAATAGATCCGCGGAAACGCAATGAAGGCACGGCCATCTAACGGGCGCGTAGGAAATGGTGGGAAAATAAGTTTCCGTATCTCGATAGTTTCGTGGGTCTATTTGTGAACACGTCAGGATTCAGCGTATACGTCCGCAGCATTGGTCGGTGGCAAGAGCGTAGAAAAAATGGCGAAGGTCTGTGCGTAAAGACGATCGTCAACAGAGTTGACAGAAACTAATGAAGTAGGCTAATGTCAAACGTGACAGGCGTGATGTACGAAAAATGTTCGCTCTAGTCCGCGCGGTCTTGGTGCGTTTCGTGTGATCGGCCGCATCGCTTCGCAAGAGGCGTTCAAAACCGAACGAGAAAGCAACGTACGGGAGAGAAAAAAAAACAGGAAACCAAGAGGTCCAGGTGGTTGCGAAACGTCACAGATCACAACACGGAACGGGCCACTTCAAGGCAAGACGTTCCACCTCCTCAGCAGAGACACTGAATCGTAAAAATAGTGATAATGCGAACGACCGTCTATCAATGGGCTAAGAGCAGTTCTCCGCGGCAGACTCGCGATGACCTGAATTCAGTCTTCTCGCTCTAAAAGCGTATTCTGATCTTGAATCGTGTCTCGTGCAAGGTTATGTGCAGTTATGCGTCTGACATTTGGATCCTTTGAGAACGTTCATCGAGGCGGATCATTTAGCTGTATTTGGCAATTAGTGCAACACAAAGTCACGATTAATACCGTGTTCTATAGAGAAAGCGCAGTCTACGATTTTGTAACGATGCCCTGCTGATCGAGTCTTTTTTAAAACAATACTCCCGAAATATCATTCGAAATAAAGTCGAAGTACCTAGCTGTTCTGAGTTGAGTGCAATGATATCGTTTCTCTATATCGTATTAACACGATCGTGAAAACACCGTTCTCTAGGATTCGCAATAATTGATACTTAGAGTTTTCTACTATTGTTGTGCAATAACGTTTATGACGTGTCATACTTGGTAATATTAGCTTCTTACTTGGCAAAATGCCTAACAAAGTAGATTCAGATATATTGCATTGTATTGTTTGAATTGAATTATAGTATACATATTTGTATTGGTGAACTAAGATAATTCAATGATATTTATGTTTGGCTCCACTATTGTAGGTGTAACAAATGAGTCAAATAGAAATGGATCAGGAAACAGTATATGGAACACATGAAGACAGCCATGTGGTCATGTCGGAGAAAGTCCAGACCCTGGCTGGCAGTATTTATCAGGAATTTGAAAAAATGATAGCTCGTTACGATGAAGATGTGGTAAAAGACTTAATGCCCCTACTAGTCAATGTTCTAGAATGTCTAGACATATCTTATACAGAAAATCAAGAACGCGAAGTTGAATTGGAGTTACTAAGGGAAGACAATGAGCAATTGGTCACACAGTATGAAAGGGAGAAACAGCTAAGGAAAACATCGGATCAGGTATAATTCAAGTTTCTGTATCACAGTAGCTTCTAATTTTGACTAGCGTAACATGTAATAGTTGTTAGAGGAATGTAACACTTATCTTTTCCCGACTTAGAAACTGCTTGAGCTTGAAGATGCTGCAGAAGATGAAAGGAAAGAACTTTTATCAAAAATTGATAGCTTGGAATCAATAGTAAGGATGTTGGAATTGAAGACAAAGAACTCACACGATCACGGTACAAATGTCAATGGCTCTACCAGTCCATTCCTTCACAGAACATCCCTCTACAGTAGAGTAGAATGTTTTTTTTTTTCGTTTTATGTTGATTTAATTGTTTAGTGGGTTAAATTTGATTGGACATACTGGGACATACATTTTTTGCATGCTATTTCTATGTTTGTTTGTATTTTTAAGTGCTTTATTTATTTGGGAATTTAATACGGTGGAAGATTTGCTATTATACATTCTTCTTTGCTATACATATATTGTATTTTATTGTTAAAAATTATGTATATACGTGTATTTACATTTACTTAGCCTTAGAGTGTGTTCTGTCATAGTTAATTCTTACAATCGCACTAATATAATAGCTATGGAATATCATTCTTTGTTTGTTTAGTTGTTCGTCTTGAAGAAAAAGAGGCAGAACTGAAAAGAGATTACACCCGGCTGCATGAAAGATACACGGAGTTATTTAAAACGCATGTAGATTATATGGAAAGAACGAAGATGTTAGTTGGAAGCACGGAAAGATTAGAAAATGCGACTAGCGGTCGTGGTCCATCCCGTTTACCATCTCTTGGAATGGCTCACATGTCTCGAAGCTCTGGGCCATTGAGTTATGGTTTTCAGAGTTTAGAGGCTAGTATGAATGCGGACGAAGTTCAAGAGGAAAGTCCACCTAATGCTGCTAATTTAAGAACTGAAATGTTGGATAGCAGTAGCGAAGCTGCAATAGAAACTTCTGATAAGAGTCAATTAACGGATAAGCCTGCACAAGAGAACAAAACGACGGCAATTTCTAGACGTACGTTGAATTTTTAAGATTTACCGTTTATCTCATGTACTAAGTGTGTATAAAGACACAGAAATTGTGATATCCATATCATATTTTGTTTCTCTTACTTGCAGACGAAAGTCCAGAAACAGAAGCACCTCCAGTGTTAGTTACACCAACATCACCAACAGCGGTAGAAAAACTTGCTACCACGCCAAGTGGAAGGAGTAGAACAGACAGAGAACAACGAAGTGGCAATACATTATACCAGGAACTTAGTTTCCAGGATGTCGATGCGTTGGGTGAGATGGACGAAGGAGCTGACATTACTGGTAATTATTTTTAATTGTTCTGAAAATAGCTTGTTGTTAGTCTTTTTGTTTTAACTAATACCGCATCCTTAAAATCCTTAGGCAGTTGGGTTCATCCTGGAGAATATGCATCGTCGGGTATGTCTCGTGAAATAACTACAAATTCATTCAAATATATCATTGTTTGTTAATTCTTTGAGTTCTAACTCATATGAAGGAATGATTCATACATGCTATGTATGTGATCATTGACGAATGAAATAGTACAATATTCGTTTTTGTGTGAAACATGCATGCACTATTTTCGGTACTAACAGTATTTTGAACTTCATGAAAATTAATTTTGCAGTACAATTAATACAATATTCTATGTGTAAATTATTAGTTACATACATTGGAACTCTGAAGTGTTAATAATTGAAGTTACGAACTATTACTGAAATAAAAACATTATTAAGCCTTTATTTCTATAATGATAACATTAAGGGTGTTCCTCAATAAGTGAATCATTCGTTTAATTACAAACAGATTACTTGTGAGTTATATTCAATGCAAAACTTTATGAATGAATTTCTGTTTTTCATTGTTTGCGTTCTTACCTCCACTGGGTACGGCCACATCATGATTAAATAATCGCATGATATAAATAACCTTCCAGTCAATGACAACTTTTTCGGTAAGACATTACTAATTTTATTTTTCAGATTATACATATTAATATGTTTAATCAATTATCTTTCTAACAAGTATAACTTCACTAAAATATGTTTTATTAGGAATGGGTAAAGAAGTGGAGAACCTTATTATGGAAAATAATGAACTTTTGGCCACAAAGTGAGTACTTCATGAATGTTTCATTATTTAAGTTAATATTTATATATACCATCATGTTAGTTACTCACATTTACACTATGTTATTTCGTAGGAATGCGCTCAATATTGTTAAAGATGACTTAATCATTAAAGTGGATGAACTTACGAGGTAAAGAAATGTTACTATATTAGTGTTAAATTCAATAAGTACCTTTCATTATTTCATAATGTAAGCAAACATACTATCAATACCAATTTATATTTGAATGAATCCACTTTTCAGTGAACAAGAAATATTGCGCGAAGAAGTTCGGGGTTTGCAACAGGCGAGGGAACGTTTGCGCCAAAAAGTCGCTGCCCTTGAAGAAGAATTGAAAAAAGTTAAAGAAGACGCTGAAGCAGCGGCGAAAGCGGCTAAAAGTGACGACGAAGAAGATGTACCTTTGGCACAGAGAAAGAGGTTTACCAGGGTAGAGATGGCTAGAGTACTCATGGAGAGAAACCAGTACAAAGAACGATTCATGGAACTTCAAGAAGCAGTCAGATGGTCAGAAATGATCAGAGCCAGCAAGGCTGATCCTTCCAATATATCAGGGGGAAAAGGTTCGGTGTGGAAGTTGTTAGTATCATCAATATAAAAACAAAACCTATAACTGAACTGGCAGATGTAGGTTATTCACCTTTTTAAAAATGTTTGGATGAATAATAATTTGTTTTCTTTCTCTGTCTGTAGTTTTAGTAGTCTCTTCACAGGACCTGCGGATCGAGGGGCCCTGGTTCGAGGACCGCATACGTTACCTCACATTAGGTACAGCGCACCGACAAATCAAGTTGTTCCGGCCCCAGCCTTGGACACAATGCGTAGACGTACGTTGAAAGGTCGCCATGAGTTTTTCGACCAGGGAGACACCATGTGAGAAATCAATCAAATTCTATACACGCACCTAGATATTGTTGTCAATTTTGACACTACAAGCCTGCCAAATTTTTCTCTATTCTTTAAAAATAGAGACTCATTTCTTTATCGTTATGCTCTCTTTTTTTTTTAAAGACAGTACAGGATACTGTGATCGTTCTACTATGAAAGTTTTCATAAGAATCGCAACACAAGTTGTACGCATAAATTAATTATAATATTTTATCAAAGCTATTGCAATGACAAAGAAGGAAACGGTTTTATATTCTTAATGGGGGCAGGGATTACGAAATCTTGATGCTGAAGTAATCTTTGAATCGACCTCATCTTTGCAGATTAGACTCCCCTTTGGTCAGTTGGGATCCATAATCTTTTGTCGCGACTCTCAATTAGTCTTGATCGCTCTTAAAAGATGTGAGTCAATTCTAAATAATTTCTTGCCTGAGCGATTTGCAAATGTGATGGTTTTTAACAAATTGTCGTTACAAGTCCCACTTCACCTGCCATTATTTTTTTTCTTAATCAAAGAAATGATCATGAGTGTGTATGTATATAAATAGAGACTATGATCCAATGCACACAGAAAAGAATTTTCTCCGTTTGACAATTTGATTTTTAATAGTGTGTATATTTTTAGTCTTATTTTTCATACGTACGGAAAACTGTAAATTATTATTTGTATATTGCAATGGAACGTTGCATAATATATATACATATATATATATATATATATATATATATATATATATACACATATATAATATGATATAACATAAATGAATTCACCACTTATAGTAGTGGTCATACATTTGAGTACAGTAATTACTTATTTACTGAAGTAAATTGTCTGTTATTACAAAGTCATGCTTGAAAAGCAATAGTTTTGTAAATAAAAGTTTGTACAATTTTTGAAGGATAACAATATACGATCATCATTGATCAACAAATAAACGAACTTTTGACTATGTTGTAAACTTGGCTTTTATTTCACTCTTGCTCTGCGCTTTGATTTTTCGTACGGGTTTTCATCCTTGTTTCTCCTTCGTGGCGTTGTCAAGAGATATGTACCTGGTATTTCTGGTTTTCGGTGGGGTGCTTATTGGCCAGCAGGTAAATCTGTTCTGCTCTATGTCTAACATTTCGCTTCTCTAAACCTTGGATATGAATATTGTTGTGCGAGTAAATAATGAAGCCGAACATTAGATAACGACGGAAAGAACAGTTAAATTAAGCCTTCGTGTAGATCCAAGAATGTGTCCAGTGATCAAGAAACTCTTCGTAGGAACAAATGGTTGAACAAACACCAAAGCGTTCAGTAAAGCCTACTAACTTCTATTATTAAACATTCTACTTTGATCGTACGTGTACTTTAGGGGTAGACACACTTCATTCACGTTTAATCCGTTTTTTCAGATCGTCTGAGAAACTCGTAGCCAGACGTGCGAACGAACGAAGGGAGCAATACCGCCAAGTCCGCGCGCACGTTAGAAAAGAAGATGGTCGATTACAAGCTTACGGTTGGAGTTTACCAGGAAAGCCAAGTGTACCGGTTCGACAACCCGTCCCTGTGCCAGTTTATTGTAGACCCCTGCAGGAATCAGAACCTGGGATGAAGGTACACGTCATAATTATAATGCTCTTCTAACTTCTAATGCTCCAATACTAATGATTATTTCGTAATCATAATGCTGTAATAATTTCTTTAACCTTTCAATTTCATAGATATGGTGTGGTGCTGGCGTAAATCTAAGTGGAGGTAAAACACGTGACGGTGGTTCTATGGTCGGTGGAAGTGTGTTCTATGCGGCCGAAGCTCGAGAAGTAAGTACTAATTCAAAGACCGAAGCTGAGGATGCCATTGAACATTTGGATAAGGAACTTCAGGAGAATGAAAACCAACGATTGGAGGCTGAACGTTTGGAGCAACAACTCAGCTCGTTGGTGTGGATCTGCACATCGACTCAGAAGATGTCGAAAGTGACTGTGATAGACGCTAACAATCCAGCCGATATTTTGGAAGTTTTTAATGTTTGCCAGGGACATTTACTTTGCATCGCGAGTGTACCTGGCGCGAAAGAGAGTGATTATGCTCAAGCCGTTAGCGAAGACTCGGTTCGCACTGCCAATGGAGTAATGGACAACAACGGTCGCGAGCCGAACGTTAGTGCAAGTATCGAACAGAATAATCAGACGAATAAGCAGGAAACTCCGGTCTCCGCCGAGAAAAAGGAGTCGGACAACACCGCTGAGGGTCAGAATAACGAAAATCCTGAGAAACCGGACGAAACGAATCAGAATACTACCACCGAGCCGCTGAGTTTGGAAAGCGTTGACAGTGAAACAATAAATCTTGGGAAAGTACAGTTCGTGAAAGATAGTGCAGAGGTGCCGCCTATGCGAATGATTGAACAAGAGAGTACGAATGACGAGCAGCAAACTGATGAAGTCGAGGAAGGTACTCCAATAGAAAAAATGTCTTCGATACAGCCGACAATGTGGCTCGGAGCTCAAAACGGTGCTGTGTTCGTACATTCGGCTGTGGCTAAGTGGTCAGTCTGCTTACATTCTGTGAAACTGAAGGATGCTGCACTGGCTATTGTGTATGTAGATAGTAATGTAATCAATAGTTGATGTAATTTATAATCAGTATCTAAGAAAACTATTTTTTTCTTTAGGCACGTTCAAGGCCGAGTTCTTGTCGCCCTTGCCGATGGAACTGTCGCATTATTTAGAAGGGGTGCAGATGGTCAATGGGATCTGTCTCAGTACCATGTGATTACTTTAGGTAGTCCACAACATTCAATCAGGTGCATGACCGCTGTCAGTGGTAAAACCGTATGGTGCGGATATAGAAATAAAATTCATGTAATAGATCCAGTTTCAATGTCTGTTGAGGTATATATACATTTATGTGAATATACACAGGGTGTTTCGCTTAAATCAGGCCACCTAGTCATTATACAATATACAGATTAGATTATATATGAACTAAATTTTCAGTGTACCGTAGATGCTCATCCACGTCGAGAGTCGCAAGTGAGACAATTAGCTTGGTTGGGCGAGGGTGTGTGGGTCAGCATTAGACTGGACTCAACGTTGAGACTATATCACGCTCACACTTACCAACATCTTCAAGATGTCGACATTGAGCCTTATGTTAGTAAAATGCTTGGGACTGGAAAGCTTGGCTTTTCTTTTGTAAGAATTACTGCGTTACTCATTTCTTCGAATAGGCTGTGGATTGGCACAGGAAACGGAGTAATAATTTCAGTTCCTTTGTCGGAAAGTGAGTACAAAACTAATGTGAACAGTTATTCCGAATTTCAAAGGTGACAATTCTCGGTAAAATATGTAAAATGCGATAGGTGCTGGAGGTTCAATGGCAGTGTCTAGAATTCAAGCTGTAGGTGGCAAAAGTGACGCACCCGGTGTTGGTGTCCGAATCTTTGCGTCAGACCGTGGCGTTACACCTGGAAGTTTTATACCTTACTGCAGTATGGCTCATGCCCAACTTAGCTTCCATGGACACAGAGATGCTGTGAAAATGTTTGTTGCTGTACCTGGTATGTCTGCTCGGAAATTGTAACAATTACTTACAGTAAATTCTCGTTGAGTGTTCAAAGGCTCCTCGGCACGGAACATTCAATGTTTGCGGCTGAAACAAATATCATTGGTTTCAGAATTCTAAGCTCTATCACCGTGTTAAACTTTATTAAAAAGTCAGCGTTAGATCTGGGGACCTCTGCTTGTCATTGCCGATGAGTCTTCGAATACTCGTCGAAGATTTACTGTACATGTTATAACAACAAAGATTATTTATGAATTTTATTCTTATTTCCACAGGTCACGGTGGTCAGAGTGTGGTATCAGATCGTTCACAACCAGCCATGCTCGTTCTTTCAGGAGGCGAGGGCTACATAGATTTCAGAGTTGGTAAGCTATTGCATTAACATATTATTTCCCCATACAAATCTATTCCACTGATCATCTGCTTGAAATCTTCAACAGCATGGAATACATAGTCTTAGTACATCATTTCGTTAATGTTAAACTGAATACGTTAATAACGAGCTATGAAAGTATTGTTTCATGCGATTATGATACTTCCAGCAGATGAGGCGGAAGACGAGAGTGACGTGGCGACTCATCTAATTGTATGGCAGTTGGTCAGGTATGCCCCCAGAGAAAATTGAAAAGCGGTTAATGGGTCCTTTCCTCGATTCACGCTGGCATTTTATATGATTGAATGAATCAGTTATCTGTAATTCATCAACAAAACATATGTACTAACTATTAAGAGTATGTTCTGTGCACGGTGTAATGAGATTCAACTAACAAGTCCACAAGTAGTTAGACGTATCTATAACCTGAAATAAATTTTATATCTTTGTCCTAGTTTCTGTTAAAAAATAACCGCTATATTCAGCGTACCCTTGCGAGTCTAGCAGAATTTTCAGTTATATCTTTTGCTACCAGGTTGGAAGATCTAAAATTTGATAATTGTTCGCTTCTGTACAGCACTTTTTCAAACTTATATCTTCGTAACTTTTATTAATACAAAGAATTACCTGTGTCTGCACTTTCATTTCTTAAAGCAACTATACAACACCGTTCCATTATCTGCTTTCTTCATTCTCTGGGGGTTGGGAAGTTTCAGCTGACATGCATCGTACTCTGTATAAAGAACAGCTGACAATCACACTTCTTTTTCTTATTGTCAAAGTTGGACGTTATTCGAATAAAAGTTTCTATAGAATTACATTCAAATGAAAATTTAGTCGAATAAATGGACCAACAAGACGTCTACGAAATCAGTGTTTAAAAAGAAACACTGGAGCTTTATTCGTTATGTGATATAAAATTCGCCCAACTGTATCTAACATGAATCATGTATATGTATACGTTATCCGTATATTGAAAAATTCGTGTTTTCTTTTTTTTTTAGGTGATGGAGAGGACACGGAAGAGAGCATTGAGCGATCGAACAGTGCAGTCGCCACAAATGCCGAGGAACACGGAGAACAAAGCCATTTGATCGTATGGCAAGTGCAATGTCTTCTACCAGTGCCAATGAATGGCTAACTTACAAACTGAATAGTGAAGCATGCTGATCCAGGTGTATGGTCCAGCTTGAACTTCTACATATACATACGAATCAAGCATTCAAGTGGTTCCCGTTGCGCGTTGTCCAGTCATGGATAGACCCTATTCAGCCTCCGGTCGAGTGAACCGCGTCAAATTAAACGCTCTATCTATTCGATTCTATTTCCATTAAACAATTATAGCGAATCACGCGAACCATTTTACGAATAACTGGAATATTCCGTAATGACGAAAAGGGAAGACATATTGTAAGATTTCTCGAGAGTGCTAGGGGATCATGTCCATCGTTTCTTGCGCGGATATCCGTGTGTCGGCTAGCTTCCTCGACGTTTGTCGTATCGTTGAACGAGAAACTTAATGCGTTACTCGAGGAAATGTTTTTTTTTTTTAAATTAAATGACGTAATTAGAATCTCTTAACTCAACGCTTATAATCTTTAGCTTCTATATTTACAATCGCGTCTTTTGAAGGTACCTATCGGCATACTAATTCGCTCTTGCGCAATAATAACGTAATTTATCAAGAAGATTATTTTAACGATCCTGCATGCATCCGTGCGTCGTTGAACGTTCAGTCGTAACGTTTTTAGTCGGAAATTACTACGTTCATCATGCCGTACGTAACCATGTCCCCCGAACGTAGAAGCTTCTGAAACGTCTTGAAGTCAGTCTTGATCGAACAGTGCCGGGAATAAAATAGCGTTACATTTCCGCCAATCAATGTGATAACCGATAACGATACTGGGCGATGAGTTCTCAAAGCTGCCACGACGTTTGCTACCCTGACTGTTAATAATATTCTGATTACTATCGAAAGGTAGAAGACCTTTTTACGCAGGGGTGAGAAGTGCAATCGATTCGGGCAGTGTTTAGGCATAATATATTGTACATTGTTTCAGTTAGAGAATATATTATTTTCCAGACCTATGTGGTTTAATTCGCGTCCAATATTATACATATATCAAATTGTAATATATTTTTTATGTTCAGCTAACAATCTGTAACGTCACGTTCAACCGTACGTGTCAGCTTTCTGCGGACTCGACGACGGTTTCGTGTACAATTTGTAATTTAATTTATTTGTTTAATTCTGTTTCTTTTCGTCGATGAAAGAAATAGAAATTAAGTATTCTATGGTGGTGCTGAGCACACAATGAGTACGTCTATTTCTTGTCATTTGATCCGCTGCAACTTTAATTTCGTTGGCAACACGCATACACCCCCCCCCTAATGTAACTACCAAAGACAAGGAACGACTTTTAATTGTATCCTTTGTACGATTTCTAGCGAGGATGGTTTTAAAATTGTGCGTCTAGACCGATGTAGTAGCGATATTGACTAGATACAGACATTCTTGTAATTCGGGATTTCGAGAGAGTCGTCAATACACAGGCTTACGAAATTTTTATAAATTTCTTATGTTAAGCGACGAACTGATGACATTTAAAAATGTGTACGGTGTGTAAGGGCTGCGCATATTATTGTGCGAGCTCGCTTTCGGTGTCGAGCTCGGAATTGTACCTGGCTCAGATGAAGCTGCAATGGCGTTAATAAAGAAAGTTGTGAAGTGAGGTAGACAAATTATTAATTGATGTCTTCACCAGCGTAGACATTATAACAATGACTGTTTACTGTGGTGTTCGAACTCTGGTCGGTCCTGAAGATCTCGATGAAAGATATCATCGAGCACGAGATTTACATAATAGTCCTTTCCATATTAAACAACTTCTGCGAATAAACATTTCTGATATTCACTGAAAAACAAGAAATTCTAAAAGAATGATTTGCTAGGTAACATGTAGATTATAATTTATAATCATTAATTTATTCATTATTCTTCATTGTTCTAATTATTCCATCACTGCATACGGCATGCACCGGCAGTTCTATGACCCTACGTCCCACCATACGGGGTCCAAGGCGCCACCTCCGGGGGTTTTATGACCCCACGAGCTCACCACACGGGGTCTCCGGCGCCAAACGTGGGGGCTCCATGACCCCACGCTCACAACACACGGGGTCTACGGCGCCACCCGAGGGGGCTCCATGACCCCACGTTCCCACCACACGGGGTCGCTGGCGCCACCTGCCGGGGTTCCATGACCCCACGTTCTCGCCACACGAGGTCTTGGCGACTCCTCCAGGGGTTCTATGACCCCATGATCCACCAAACGGGGGTCTCTGAATAAATGAAGCTTTGAACATCGTACGGAAGATTTACAAGTTACAGAAAAGGGTGTTATTTTTATTGTTATTAGTCTGAATAAGAATTTATGCACATATTGTTACATATATATTGTAATTCGTATACATATAAGTAGTATTGAAGGTAATTGTTATGAAATATATTCAAATAGTATGTAAATTGTGTATTTTCATCAGATTTCTTCAATGAAAAACAGTTAAGTGGTACATATGTGTTGATTATTAAGCCTATATCATCCACATTAAGTGGTAAATATGTGTAGTTTATTAAACTTATATCATTGTCCTGTGAGAATGTTCATACTTCCAGGAGCGTTCATATTCCAATCAAATGATCCAATCTTGTAATTACTGGTTCCCACCTGCCAAAGAGTACTAATCTGCGTTCTTTAAACTTCGAATGTAATCAATGACGAGGAAAACTGATGATCGTTTAGCAGTGTAAATCCGATCGAAATCTGTTACAATTACATAACCACTAAACAGGCAACACTTTTCTTCGTCATGCATTACATTTGAAGTTTAAAGAATGTAGATTAGTACCCTATAACGGCTGGGAACCAGTAATTCCAAAACATTGATAAAATCTCAATTGTTTGCAACGGTTGACACTGTATCTCGTCATGTGTACCCCGGTTAGTTCACTTTAAATAGCTCTTCCAACGTTCTATGGACAAGTTACGTCTTGATCAAGCATTCAGTTTGAAGCTAAAAGAACGTAGATTAATCTCCTGTCATTGAAAATAACAATAAACGACCAGAACACTGTTAAAATCGCATTTAATTGCGGAATACTACTATTTTTTGAATGGTGGCGCCACCCGTGGCGAATCGCTGAAACTGCTGGCCATATAATTAGCTAGCAGTTTTAGCGATTCGCCACGGATGGCGCCACTGTTCAAAAAAGTAGTGATACTCCGCGATTAAATGGGATTTTAACAGTGTTCTGGTCGTTTATTGTTATTATCAATAAGAGTGGATTAATCTACGTACTTTCAGCTACAAATGGAGTGCTTTATCTAAACGAAAGCTGTCCGTATAACGGTATAAGAGCTGTCCAAAGTGAACTAACCGGGATGCGCATGACGAGATACAGTGTCAACCGTTGCAAATAAAGTGCGACTTTAACAGTGTTCTAGTCGTTTATTGTTATTGCCACTGACAGGAGATTAATCTACGTTCTTTCAGCTACAAGTTGAGTGGTTGACCAAGACGAATCAGCCGTTATAGGGTACTAATCTACATTCTTTAAACTTCGAATGTAATGCATG